GCTGGTCCCAGCAATTATTATTTATTTAAGTTCTCTCTTTTATCTTTTTTGTATCATTTTTGTTTGCTTGCTTGTTTTTTACAATTTGTTTTCTTTGAGCGAGAGAGGTTTTTGCTATCAGGCACATGCACTCACCAGAGAGATAGAGACAGAGAGACAGAAAGTGAGAGATCACCCCCTGGGGGATGGCCACGCCGCAATCCCTGCCCCGTCCTTTTTCCTCTTAAGATCTCAGGCATGCATGCACATGTGCCCTGTGTGAATTGTAAGCCACCAGGTCTGGGATTTGAACCGTGATCAACTCTGTGGGACTCCAGTTACATAACCATTATGCCATCTGCTAGTCCCAGCTTACTTGTTTCTAATCCTCCATCAGTTGTTCAGAGGCAACCAGGCAGCAAAAGAATGAATTATACAAGTTTCCCTATAAAATCTCTTCTATGCCTCAAAACTGACTCCAAGAGATGGAGAATGAGCAAGTTACTTCCTTGGTGTCAATTTAAAATACGGAGGAAAAAAGATCATAATCTAAGTTCTAATAGAATCATTTAAAAATCAAGTGATTTATAAAAAGGAAAGAAAGAAAAAAATGTAATATTCAGAGCCTGAAGCAGAGTTTAGATAATCAACCTTTGTGTGTGTCACTTTTCTAATCAGCAAAATGAGGCCATGGATTTTAAACATAGGTCCAAAATTCAAAAACAGGAATCTGGTGAGAAATATAAATGCAGTATTCCCATTATGGCTCAATAGGGAATGGTAGAGGCTGTGGCAAACTGAGACACACACGTCCTGACTAAGGAGTCAGTCACTAGTCCTCATCTGCCAAAACAAGAATTCAGGCTTGGTAGTTTCATCCCCTCTGCCCAAGAGAAGCCAAAAACTCTAATTTTTATATGAAACATTTGAATTTAAGCATTGGCTTAAATTTAAGCCAATGCTTAAATTCATTTAACACATTAGACAGACAAACAAAACAGATCTGAAGACCCACTGGCCGTCAGTTAGTGACTTTTGATCCAGGTGTTTTCTAAAATCCTTTCTAATGACCCTCATGTCATTCGTTTACAACGAAATGCCCAACTCTTTTCTAGTCCAAACCGAACATTCTGTGGTCCAGTCAGTAATCCTTCTCTGAAGACAAACATTCTGATCCACTGGAAAATGTTTACTTGGCTATAAAGAGTGCATCCTAAAAGTTCAGAATAAACTGAGATAAGGGTATGTATGTATGTATATCTTTTATTTTGTCATCAGAAAAGTCATGATACATTTTTGCAGAGAAAAACATAGAGAAATATGTCAGGAGTTTTCTAATGACCCAATACATGCTGAAATTTCCAATTCAGGTCAACATGGGTCTACTTCTGATATTATTTAGATCCAGAAGTAAAAAAAATTAAAAATGACTCTTCAGGGACCAGTGGTTGGCGTAATGGCTAGGTCACTGAACTCCCACGTAGTTGACCGTGGTTCGAGTCCCTGACCCAGCAGCTTAAACTCACCTCGGGCACATGTGTGTGGTACCCAAAATCCCAAGAGGAGAATAGAGAAGGGATGGCGTGGCCATCCTTTTGGGGGGTGATTTCTCACTTTCTGTCTCTCTGTCTCTTTCTGTCTTTCTGGTGAGGGCACGTACCCCATAGCAAAAACAAAAAAACCTCTCAAAAAAAAAAAAAAAAGAAAGAAAGAAAGTCTCTTCACTTCTTTTTCAATTCATTCATTCTTATCCCATTAGATGTAACTATAATGTATTTCCTCCTAAAGTGTGACTGCGAAATATCAGAGCAGTTCTGACCCTTATTTAAAATCCTCTGTGCTTCTAAACACAAATAAAACTTTATGTCTGGGAAATGCATTTCTGTATTTTTTAATTTTCTTTTCCTTTCTTTTGCATTTTTTAAAATTTTTTATTTGAGAAGTACTTAAACTTGCATAGTGCTACTGAGAGCTGATGGGAAAGTAATTCCTGTCTCTAGAGACAAAGAGATAGAAGGCTGCCACCCAACCACATGTTTTTTTGCTTCTAAAATTATTTATCCCTCTGTAATCTTCTTTGACAAAGATGTAAGTGCTTCAATAATATAAAAGCTGAAAGAAAGCATTTGGCATAGCTCTGAGTTGCATTCATTCTAAAGAGAAACAAAACTGCTACCAAATAGCAAATGATATTTGAAGCATGGCTCCCTTTGAAATAAATCATATCCTAAATCCTAGAGATTGAGTTGTACATCCCCCAGAAGCATCAGCATTGCTTTTCATTTACTCTCAAAGTCAAGAATTTTAACTCTTATTAAATGGCAAAGGAAATACTGTCCATCAGAATTCGTGACTGAAATAGAGTCAAAGCTTTCCTTAGAAAGCATTTTTAAAAACTCAGGTATATTGCACAAATAATAGGGAATGGGAAAATGGGATGAGGGAAACCACTGGGTTTTAAAATAAAAGAAACTCAGAGTGACAAAATGAGAAATCACAATTTATACCACGGCAGGAATTAATATCAGTTTCTGTGTAAAACGAATGTGAATTTGCCTAAACACTTTGTGTTGACACAATTACAGCCTGTGAGTTTAACGAATACTTGACCTAAGAAAGATTACACTCGGTACAAACAGGTATCTTTGTTAAGTCTTTTGTTGCAATCTTACCCAGGAACAGGGTAGATATTTCTGACAGGCTTTTTTCCATCAATATAAAAAAACATTCCAGATAGATATGTGACCACCTTCTATTAGAAAAAGATAGATCTCTGGGACCAGGAGTTAGCGTAATGGCTATGTCGCTGAACTCCCCTGTAGTCGACCACAGTTCAAGTCCCAGAACCAGTAGCTTAAACTCGTGCCAAGCATGTGTGCATGTGTGCCTAAGATCTCGAGAAGAGAATGGAGGAGGAGGGATTGTAGCACGGCCATCCCCCCTCGGGGGTGATTTCTCGCTTTCTGTCTCTCTGTCTCTGTCTTTCTGGTGAGTGTACATGTTCTCTAGCAAAAACCTCTCAAAAAAAAAAAATAGATAGATCTCAGAAAATGGGTATAAATCCTTCAAGGTCTATAAGAATGACTTTTAAAAAATCTTACTTAGAATTCTGTCTAAATAAAGGTCCCTGAATCTAGAACAGACACACAAACTAACAAACAAACAAAAACAATTCAACTGATTAATCTGAATTGTTATTAGATTAATAGAGATATGGGGGTCGCTGAACTCCCCTGTAGTCGACCACAGTTCAAGTCCCAGAACCAGTAGCTTAAACTCGTGCCAAGCATGTGTGCATGTGTGCCTAAGATCTCGAGAAGAGAATGGAGGAGGAGGGATTGTAGCACGGCCATCCCCCCTCGGGGGTGATTTCTCGCTTTCTGTCTCTCTGTCTCTGTCTTTCTGGTGAGTGTACATGTTCTCTAGCAAAAACCTCTCAAAAAAAAAAAATAGATAGATCTCAGAAAATGGGTATAAATCCTTCAAGGTCTATAAGAATGACTTTTAAAAAATCTTACTTAGAATTCTGTCTAAATAAAGGTCCCTGAATCTAGAACAGACACACAAACTAACAAACAAACAAAAACAATTCAACTGATTAATCTGAATTGTTATTAGATTAATAGAGATATGGGGTTAGTATTAAAGTCTCTGCACTTTTAGGCGGGTAGAATTTTTCTTTAATACACTTTGGACAGAACTGTTTGAACTATCGAATGGCCTTTATTCGCCATTTCATCTAACGTGTGTTTGTGCCACAGTATTTATGATTCAGCCATGTCAGAGCTAGAAATATTTTGTTCCTCACATACAGTGCAACGTCAAATAAAGTGTACTTCTTGATGGATGCCCGTCAGACATTGCGTATTTTTCAAAAATAGCAAGAAAGGTCACTGAATGTAGAAACAAGTGGAAAGGTGCTTTTTGAGCACCACCACCAAGACCTTTAGGGACTTGCCTTTTCTGCCCACACCTGCCTTAAAAGTCAACTCATGCCTTTTAAATATCATGATTCACAGCGTATTCCTTATATAATCATGGAAATGTAGTTTCGTATTGGTAACAACAAAAAAATATCTAGTAGTTACATTTAGATTCTGTGCCTACCCAGAGCGAAAAACAAAATGAGACGATAATAGCAAGTACCATTGGGTTGTTGAGAAAGTCATGATGCATTTTTGCACAGCGGAACAGAAAAATGCGACATGACTTCCCCAACGACCTAATGTTTTGCGAATAAATGTTTTAAGTGACAAGCTCAGCACTGAATATTCTGTATATTTTTTCCCAATTAAAGCTAACCTTAAAAACTCTTTGAACTAAATACTCTTACTATGTCTTTATTACAGGTGAGGAAACTAGAGCTTAGAAAGTGAGTAAACAAATAACCTAAAGACATACAAATAACTTTTTAACACTAAAAACCAACACAGCAGCGGTCACAGCAGCAGCAACAAGAGTAAATCAAGCCTGATACTGCCGCTTCTTAATCATTATACCCGACTGGCTCACAAGTGAATCAGACAACTTAACACTTCCAGAAATGTGCTAGCCAATCCAAGGATCTTTGCTTGTCTCGCTACACTTACCAGTTGTCATTCGTAAGGAATTGCTGAAATGACCCGTGTATTAAAAAACTAAAAACTTCACTTTTTTTAAAAAAATATATATATATGAAGCAAAAATTACAGAACATTTTTTTCAAAAGAGAACTTTGCATTCTTTTGTCTGTTCAATGTTTCTTCCCTTTGCCCCTCCCACCAGCCCTCTACCACCCACTGCCCTTCCTTACAGTCTTTACTGTCTTCACTTATCCTCTCTACTAGTCTATCTTTGGATCTTTCGATTTCTGCCATAGAGAAGTTCACCTTTTTATCTTACTATGCTTTTCCTAGCTACCACAGAACTTCGTTCCAAAAGTAAGGTAAGGAAGTGAACACCTGAAGGAGTCAGGTGCAGTGTTCTGATAGACACAAGTGGTTATACTTTCATTATTTTCATTTAAATTTTTCCTCATACAGAACCCAGTGCTGCTCCCACGGATGTCAGGGCTACGAGTGTGTCTATGTCAGAGATTCTTGTTGCATGGAAACATATTAAAGAGAGCCTCGGAAGACCACAGGGATTTGAGGTATGAACAGAAGTATTGAAAATAAGCCTTGTTTTTTTCTGCTAGCACTACAGGCTCCTGAAGAGATGGTTTGGTGACACTTCAACAGAATTATATTCCTTTGAAATTCTGCTCTATGCTAACGAAAGTAAAAAACACTGTTTAACTGACATTTATTATGGTGCTCATTAGCTGGCTTACTTTTCAGTACAGTAGTTTCTACAGCACCATGTGAAGATAAAAAAAAGGATGGAAATAGAGTTTGGATATTCCCAGATAAAATCAGGAGCAACAAGTGGATATTTAATGGCATTCAATGTATTGGTGGTTACAAATGTTTTGTGTCTTTCTTTCCAATAAATTTCCAATAATATGCATAAAAATAAGTTTTCCTTTCATAGTTTCTTGGCAGGATTTACATCCAATCCAGAACTCTCAAATTGCTTAGAACTCAGTGATCTGTATTTGTTTATTTTAGTGATTTTTGACCCTTAAATTTTGCTATTTATTCTAGCCTTATAATGGTGAACATTTCATATTAGTTCAAAGACTGCAATAAAATTTTAGTTTCTGCAGGGACTAGAGGGTTGTGGGTAGCCTGTGAACCTGAGTATTGCATGATAGCAAGAGCCATGCTTCTCATATGGTTCTTGTTCTTGCCATGATTCACCAGTGATGGATAGGAATTAGAAGAATAATATCTAAAATACAGTAAAGAAGTAGCAACTGACTCAAGATCTTGGGTGAATTATTTTTTTTAAATATTTATTTTATTCATGATAGGAAGTGTGTGCATGCGCATGTGGGTGTAGACACCCAAGGAAAAGTCAAGCACCCTCAACAGGGTCTCATCATGCCACAAGTCCTCTTCCCTCCAGCACTCCAGCCTGTCAGGATATAGACTGTCTCCATGCCACAGTGTATTCCAGATCAACCAGGGATCCCACCCAACAGTCAACCATGTGACTTCCAGAACTGCAGTTCATCACACTACCACCTGTACCTTTGGGCTGGCCCTGTATTTATCACTTTTAATTCTGCTTTGTCCTCTGCTTCCACTCATATTAAGAGAAAAATCATCTTATTTTTTGAAGAAAGACCAATCATAGAATTTGCACATTAACATGTTTTCCAGGCAGAAGCATTTTTAAATTCTATCTGTGGTCCAGATATTTCCTGATAACTCTTTGGTTAACTATTTGGTTAGCATACAGCCAGCATTAGATAACTACTGAGATAAAGAATTTATACAATCTTTCTATGAGTTCCAGCAAGAACTATTTCCAGGAATCCATTACCTACCCATACAATATCATGGACTTATTTCTACAATGTTGTCTCAATGAATTGTTTGAAATAATTTTGTGTGTATGTTTATTACATGTTTATTGATTTAACCATGATTAAAGGGACCCTGTCTTTTCATTACTGAGTCACAGCAACTTGCCTCATAATAGGTCACAATAAATATTTGTTGGATGCATCAATGTCTGTGCTTGGCAATCAACCCCTTTTTATGACCATAGAAGACGTCGTGGGGTCTGCCCAGCTCTACTCTGCTGGACCAGTGGGCCATCTCCCAGCTGCCACAATCCCTTTTCCTCCATTCTCCTTTAAGAATTTTGGGCGCACATGTGTGTACATAAACACACACACACACACACACACACACACACACACACTCACACTCTCACCTGCTCTGATTTTCAAGCCACAGGGCCTGGGACTCTAACTACAGTCGGCCATGTGGGAGTCCAACACCTTAACCCCATGCTACCTGCTGACCCCTTAAAGTACTTTTAATATGAAGGGTAGTGTCAAGGTCTGTTATGTTTTAGAAGCCTCTCTTGGTGTAGGAGGGTAGAGAATGGACTTTAGCAGGATCTCAGGGAGAACAGTGGAAAGATAATTGTTCCAACCAAAATGAATGTGAGGTTGCTTTTGACTGGAGTAGAGTTGATTATAAGTGGACCTTTTAAAATATATTTTGAATGGGAATATGATAGGATTTGATAATGAATTGGATATGAGCTATGAACAATCAAGTCAGTAAAGATAATTCTGAAGCTTTTTACCCAAGAAACTCAGTGAATGGCATGTCAGTCACAGAACTGAAAAACTCAGGAAGATGGGCCAGCAGGTGGTATGGTGGTTAAGGTGCTGGACTCCCACATGGCTGACCACAGATTGAGTCCCGAACTGGTGGCTTGCTTTCTCACTTTCTCTCTCTCTCTTTCTCTCTCTCTCTCTCTCTCTCTCTTCTCCACGGATGGGTACATATGCCCTATAGCAAACTTAATGATAACGATAATAATAATAATAAATTAAATAATTTCTAAAAATGAAAAACTCAGAAGGAATAGGGTTTAAAGTAAAAAAATCAAAGGGACTAACTTGGATGTGTGTATTATAAGCTTTTTTATTTATAAAGAGAATGATCAAGGGTAAAGAAAACATGGGACCAGCAGTTAGCGTAATGACTATGTCTCTGGACTTACACGTAGTCGACCACGGTTCACGTCCCAGACCCGGTGATTTAAACTCACGCCGGGCGCATGAGCGTGCGTGCCCAAGATCCCGAAAGGAGAATGGAGGAGAAGGGACTGCGGCGTGGCCATCCCCCTTGGGGGGTGATTTCTCGCTTTCTATCTCTTTCTCTCTCTGTCTGGCGAGTGCACATGCCCTATAGCAAAAAATAAAAAAACTCTAAAAAATTTTTTTAAAAATAAAATAAATAAGAAATCATGTATTATGCACATATGCAAAAACAAAGAGGAATACTGTTCAGTCTTTTCAAAGAATGAAATTCTTTCATTCAAGGAAACATGGATGAGTCTGGAAGACATTATGTTACATGAAATAAACTGTAGAAAGACAAACTTCATGTTCTCACTCGTACGCGGAAACCAGAAAAAGGAAATCTCTTAGGAGGGATGGTGGTTACTAGAGCCTAGAAAGCAAGAGCAGGAAGGAATGAGGGCAAGATGAGCTTGGTTTCCAATTCTCTATACTTTTATCAGTCCTATGAGTCACTTTTTCTAGGAATAATTCCAACTCGTCCTGAAATGTCAGAAAGATCGAGCTACCACACAAGGCTCTATGTGCCATTTTGAAAAAAGAGGTGACGGCGTTTTTGGTCAGCCCTCTTATCTTTCTAGAATTGAAATGTGTGACTAGGATGTATAAAAGCTTGTTCTTAAAAATGCTACATTCTAATGAGGGAATACAACTTTTAAAATGAACCAGCAAAAAGTAAGAGGTACTTAGATACCAATGTATACAAAAGTTCAAAGGCGCAACAAACATCACTCCTTTGCAAAACAGGAAGCACCCCAGTAACAACATTAGTGAGCAACAGTGTGAATGTGCTTAAAAGTGACCCAGAGAGTTCGGCAGACACAAGATTATGTAGGGATACATAAAATACAAAGGGATTATATTTTACTTCAATGCAGTGGAAAGCCATTAGGGGTAATATAAAGCGGAAAGGAGGGGTGTGTGACAATGTCTGATTTACATTTTTAAAGACCATTTTGAATGCTCTTATGTGAAGAATGAGAAAGGAAGGAGGAAAAGGTCAGGAGTAGAAATTGGGAGGTTAGAGACCAGCAGTTAGCGTAATGGCTATGTCGCTGGACTCCCATGTAGTCCACCGCGGTTCGAGTCCCAGACCTGGTGGCTTAAAACTCATGCCAGTCATGTGTGTGTGCGTGCCCAAGATCCTGAGAGGAGAATGGAGGAGAAAGGATTGCGGCGTGGCCATCCCCCCCTGGGGGGTGATTTCTCACTTTCCGTCTCTCTGTCTCTCTCTCTCTGTCTTTCTGGCGAGTGCATGCACCCTATAGCAAAATCCCCTCCCAAAAAAAGAAACAATCTTTGAGGATAAGTAAGGTAGGCAATAGAATCTGTGAGTCTGAACACTAATTGAAAGATCAAGGCTGAAGACATAGAGATAACAGTCATAGAGGTGGCATTTAAAGTCATGCTACTAAATGAAAGCTCATAAAGACAAAATTTCAAGAGGTGAGGAAAGAAGAAAAGAGGAAGGAGTAGCTATGCTGTCTCCACATTCAACATTTAGAAATTTAGCTAAGAGGAGAAATTGACTAGGAGACTGGCAAAGAGAGACCAGTTTGATATTGGGGAAAACCAGGCATGAAAATAAATAAATACATAATACTGAAAGAGATGCTCACAAAAAAGAAAATGATCAACTATGCTTAATACTGCTAAGAGATCAAGTGAGGTGAAGACAGAAAAGTGCCTATTGAATTTAGAGGATATTGGCATTCTTAATAAAGCCTCCTTAGTCAAATATGTAATTAATATACCTTCTGACGTCTATTTAGCTACTTCAGGTTGTAGATATTTTATAATCCTAGTAATATCACCATTATCTAAACAATCATCAGTGTCAATGATCTAGGAAGAGAACACCTGAATTCAGGTTCTCAGTCTCATCATTACCTGTACTCAATGTTGACTTGTCTAGGTCTCTTGTGGGGATATCAGATGTCTTCATATTCATGAATAATCAAAATTCTCCAACATGGATATCAGACATCATTACAAGCAAGACTGTCCATCAGAATGTGGTTTTTGTTTGTTTGTTTGTTTGGAGAGTTTTTTGCTATAGGGGGCATGTGCTCTCCAGAAAGAGACAGAGAGACAGAAAGTGAGAAATAGCCCCCCAGCGGGGGATGGCCATGCCACAATCCCTTTTCCTCCATTCTCCTCTTGGGATCTTAAGCATGCACCTGGTGTGAGTTTAAGCCACCAGGTCTGGGACTCAAACCACAATCGACTACATGGGAGTCCAGCGACATAGCCATTATGCCAACAGCTGGTCCAACATCAGAATATGTTTTTGCACCAAAAAGTATACCTCAAACCAGAGCAATTAAAATAAATCAAAATGAGATTTTCATGTGGAAATTTCCTTATTTGACCAAGTAAAATAGTAGAAACTAATAATACGTAAGAAAGCATTACTGATCTTATATGAACAGATTTACTTCTTG